TTAATTAAAATAAAACAAAATATAAAGATTAAATGAAAAATGTAAATAGAAAATAAAATAATTGTACTGAAAGTACTACAATAACTAAAATACTGAAAATAAATTAAAACTAAATCGAAATTTAAAAAAAGAATAAAAATGACACAAAATTACTAAAAATGAAATGAAAACTGAAAATTATACAAATTATACAAACAATAATATAGCATAAATAATAGTATATCAGTAATAATAACACTATTGTCAAGTGCTTGTCAGAGCGCTTTAATACTCAGACTAGGGGTGCGCGATATAGTAAAAATAATGTATATCACGATTGTTTTTTTCTGCCAAGATCACAATCAGCAGTCTAATCACAATTTTCCTGAAATAAACAGTGTTTAAAATTAGGAACAGTAGCTTTTTAACAGTAGCATTCAAGTAAGAAATTGAATAATCAAATGTAAAAATAAAACATTCCTTAATCTTCACTCAGTGAATTAAATATACATTGATTCTTATTAAAACTACAAAAGTTCTTTAGTCAGGAGCAGTGAGTGATTTTTCTCTTTTGTTTTTGTTGTTTGATTAACATTAATGACACAGACAGCAGCATGTGTCACTTTCAGACCAAATACACTGATCCAGTATACTGAGATACAACCAATTTTCTCCCAAATGTTTACGTTCAAGTCACAACTGACTATGTGTGTGTAAACCTTGTGTGTTTTTGACATAGCCATGTGTGTATTTGAGTTTAAGTGCAAAAGAGAACTGTGACAGCCAGTTTCTGTGTGTGCGCTCTGAAACCCGTATAAAAGTCAAAATAGCGTGTGTGAAGTAATTTAAAAGTTTAAACTGGCAAGACTTTAAAATTCATGCAAATGATAAAATGTGCACTGTAGCACAATACTAGCAATCTCTCTGTAAAGACCGATCTTGGAGATATTTTAATAACCTAACTCGTATGTTCTCTTTTATTGCAGAGTTTGCCTATGGAGGACATCCTTATCCTTTTTCAGGTATTTTTGAGATAACACCTGGTGACGCCACTGAACTGGGAGAGACATTCAAATTCAAGTGAGTCACAATATTTATCTCCATGCTGTCTGCAAAATATTTCTGCAAAAACCTCTTCCTCTCTCGCAAAACCTCTTCCTCTCTCGCCCTTTCTCACACCCTCTTTATTTTCTACTTGCTTTCTCAGAGAGGCCATTGTTTTAGGGAGTACAGACTTCACAGAAGAGGATGTGGAGAGAATTGTGGAGGAAATGGGGAAGGAATATAAGGGGAACGCCTATCACCTTATGCAAAAGAACTGCAATCACTTTTCCTCAGCACTATCAGAGGTAAGCTGAAGGAAGTGTGTATGTATATATATATATATATATATATGTATATATATATATTATTATTATTAATCTTTTGGGTCCACGTTGCCATAAAGAGTCTAAAATCTCACGATATCTCCCTCCTCACTTCTGCGGCAGATCCTCTGTGGTCGAGAGATCCCACGCTGGGTGAACCGACTGGCTTACTTCAGCTCTTGTGTGCCCTTCCTTCAGAGCTGCCTACCAAAGGAGTGGTTGACGCCGGCCGCACTGCAGTCCAGTGTTAGTCAGGAGCTCCAGGGAGAGCTGGAGGAGGCCGAAGATGCTGCAGCCTCTGCCTCGACGCCTTCCTGCACTGTGGCACCCGCTCCCAGACCTACCCGACACCAACCACGCCGATGAACCCTGCTGCCTTGAGTGACAGGCCATCTCTGGTTTGCTGTCAATAGAGCCCTCACCCCCTCTCCTGAGAGACTAGCAATTCACCAGCGGACTAGATGAAACCCACCTTCTGTGTTCACTGATTTATTTCAGTACGCTTAAGTGACCGTTACGGGCCTGGAAACTATCAATCGTGTTTACTGTAAAACCTTCTATGGGTTTGTCAGTGTTTTGAATTATGTTTTGTTTTAAAAACTCAGGACTTGAATACACAATGGCTCTGTTTATTCATTTTTTGTTTTTTATTTTTTTTATGATTTTCTTACGCTGGAGTTGCTCACTAGCCTTTTTCCCCTTATTCCTACAGAAAGCGCCTAGTCTGTGAATATGAGAAAATTTTTTATGGAGAACATTTGTTTACAGATTTCTTGTGTTCCAATCCGTGTATGATTGTGCTGTTGTGTGCGGGTTACAAAAGCCAAATCTCCACACTTTTGTAATGACATCCCACACTTTGGTGACTGTGACTGTGCCTGAAGATTTTTACCGTTACGTGCTCGGAGAGCTCTGCACTCTTTCTCTACAGATCTCTACCTGTTCAGTCTGCTTTGAGTGGCAGACTTCTTATCCTATGAGACCTTCCTCAGATGTTTTACACCTTTTTCGTTTTTAGAGTCTTATATGTACTTGAGACAACATTTGTATTCCATTTTATGATTATTAAAGAAAATATACGAAATATACTGTTCTCAAAGTTATCAGTTAATTCTGACAACTCAGTGGAAACATACAAGAGTGTTTAATGTAAAGGCATAATTCATTTTGAAATTTAAATTTGTCATTATTTGCTCATTCTCTTATTGCTTTGAATCCGTATGTTTCTCTTTGTTTTGTCAAACATAAATGGAGATATTTAGAGATGTCTGAGCTGTGCTTCTCCATACAATGAAAGTGAAAGGTTACTAGTCTCCAAAAATAAGTGCAATGAAAGTAGTCCATACAACTTGTCAGTGTGTGGAAAAGAGCAGCTTGGCTGTTCTACTAAACATCTCTTGCATTCTATGGAACAATGGAAATCGTGGATTTCAAAAGACATGAGGGTGAGTGAAAGATGACAAAAATTAATTTCTGGTTGAACTACCCTTTAAATCTCTAAACAGGTTATGTTAACGTCCACTACATTAGTGTTAATAATATTTTACACATTACAGCTAAAGGGTATAGAACACATCTTTATCATATAACATCTATTTCATATCCCACTTTGTGTCAAGTCAAATAGTTTTGAAATGAGCAAACCCTGTTGGGATGTGTTACTAACCAGTTGAGTTTTATAATGTATTATAATGGTACATTTCAACTCAGTTTTAGCTGTTTTTCTTTGTGTCCTCTGAAGTTTGATCATGGTCTTTGTGGCACTGAATAATGTTAGCGAGTCATTCAAAAATGAAAATGCTGTCATCATTTACTCACCCTCATGTCTTTTGAAATCCACATGATTTCCGTGGAACATGAAAGGAGATGTTTAGTAAAACAGCCAAGCTGCTCTTTTCCATACAATGAAAGTGAATGGTGACCACGACTGTTGAGGAAGATTTCTAGGCAAGATTTTCAATTATTTATAGACTTAAACTTCAGTCCGTTCCTCACACAAAGCTATCATACAGCTTCAGGCAACTTAGAAAATTACTGCTCAAGTTGTATGGACTACTTTCATGGCACTTGTTATTTTTGATAAGTTCTGTAAAACACAAAAGAGGATTTTTTTTGAAGGACATTAGTGACCAAAATCAAACCAAAGCTGTTGACTTCAATTGTATGGACATAAAAAACCGAGACATCTCTTAAAATATCTTTTGTGTTCCACAGAAAAAGAAGATTATACATGTTTGATGAGGGGTGAGTAAATAAATAATGACAGTATTTTGAATTAAGACATTTTTGGGTGAACTATTACAAAGCTGTAAAATGCTAACAATCAAAATGAGCTATTATAAGTTCAATTAGAATTTTCTCAGAGCCGAGTTAAGATCCCAGACACCGTTTCCACAGTGTCTGTATTCACAGAGTCTGTTTCCTCCTGAGTGTTTGTCCTCGCACAGCAGGGAAAGGCCTTCAAAATGTCACCGATTCCATTCGTAAGGAAGATTGAGAGGAATGGGTCCACCAGTGGGCCAAGATAGAGAAGAAGATCAGATACAAGTCCCAAGTAGTATACATAGGAGCTTAAAGACAATGCTTTGAGCAGTGTATTAAGGATAAAGGGAAGGTAAAGCATACTGTAATTACTCAAGATGACCGCCTGCATACCCAGAATCTTGTTTTTGTTAGTCACAGCTGCTGGCCGTCTTGTACACCACAAGGCTCTAAAAGAATCCAGAAAGAAAAATACCAGGAATGGTAGTGGGAGAAGAAGAGCTATGGAGAATAAGATGACATATCCTTGGTAAGCCAGAAAGAGTATTGCAAATGGAGCTGCCCACACAGCCAATGAAATCATGCTCGACTGCTTGAGCTTCATGCAGAAGGCATTATACTGTGGACAGGTTACCAACAGATATCGCTCCTGAGCAACACAGACCATGAACACGATGTTGGATATGATCCCGAAGTAGAATATCAGGGAAGATATATCCATACTCGACATACTGGTTTTCTCAGCATCCTCCCCAGATGCCTTCGGCCGCCCAAGGATGTTGAAGATGTCGGATGCGAGCAGGCTGATGAGGAAGACAGGAGCAGCCTTGCCAGTTTTTGCCTGCATGCCCATGAGGTAGATAGAAAAGCCAATGCCAGGAAGCCCAACAGCAAATGTGATCCATCTGATGATCTCTTGGATCTGGTCTACATTTATGGTGCCATTGTTCTGAGGAGCCGTGTTATTACCGTCCAATACTGTGGTGGTATCCATATGTTGCAGAATCATACTGGTAGTTTCTAGTTCTAGTTACCCTAAATGTGATTAATATATCCAAGCTGATGCGTTTGGTAATATGCCATGTCAAGTAGAATATATTCTTCAGTTCTAGCAAGCGATGCAGAAAACTCTGTGGCTCTTTAATGTGGTAAACAGATCGGTTTATTTTAGCTATCACCATTTTTATGGCTCATCTGCAAACTGTTCCTGTAAGCTCTTTCATTGCTTGTTAGTCAATGCAAATATTTCCTATGTATTCACATTAGTTTTATCTATGCAAGCTCTTTCTAGAAGCAGTTTGGACCACTGAGGAGTGTAATGTTACACATGAAAAATAAATACATTCATATATTTTTAATACAGAATATTGAAATGAATTCAAACAATTTCTGACAATTTATTTAATTGACACATTATATATAAGATGCCAACACATTCAACAATATTGTAAGCAACAGTATGCATTTTATACAGTTAATAGATTAATGACTTACACAATAGTAACAAAGCAAACCATTGCTAACTTAAGACCACTTGAATACTGACAATCTCTTGGAGCAAATATACAACAGTTAATAAATATTGTTATATGATGTCTTCTTTATTTTTGCCCAGAGCAGCATTCGCCTGATGCTATCCTGCACTTGCCTGACACTAAATCGGATCATTCATTCAAATTTGTATTGTATTTCCTTTACAAAAGCACATTGGCATGACACATTCAAGCATCACAGTCAAGCACACAGATCTTTTAAATCTTTGACTATTATTATATATGTGAAAAGTGAATGAGAGCATATTATCTTTCCTGTCTGATACTTGAGTAATTGTTTTGAGAATATGAAGAGGGCTGTGCCAAGGAATCACTGATAAAATGATCTGATCTGTTTTAAAGAGAAAAATGTAGCAGTCCCAAGTTGAATCATTTAACGTGTGCTTGTTTGCAGTTACAGTACATAAATAGAGCCCAGAATTTGGGTTTTTGTTTACCTTTGGCCTCCTGATTCAGAATATTCTCTAAACACTGCATGTATAAAATGAGAAATCGTAGGTTTGATACTGAACTTTATGTGTGAAACGATTGATAATTAAGGTGCAGGTAAAAAGCTTCATTGTCTATTGTCATGAGTTTAGGAATGTATGAAGCACAGCTCACACAGAACTCACTTTCAACCAAGCAGCTTTCTGTTGGTCAATGCAGTGAATCCACGTGGCCAACATGAATGGGGAAATCTTTTGCCCTCTTGCAAAATTTCTAATCGGGTGGATTCCCAGTTGAAATGACTGGATTTCGCCCATGAAAATTCACTGAACAACCACAAGTGAGAACGCACATTTAAATGGCCAACTAGATTTTTACGTTTTATGAAAATAATGTAAGCGATGCTTGTGCATGCAGAACTTGATGCCACAATGCTAGGGTCCTTCAGGTAGTTGCCAGAGAGATGCTATAAGATCTTAAATTGTTCTTTAGTATGTTGCGATGTAATTGCTAGGTGGTTGCCAGAGTGTTCGGGTGGTTGTTTCCTGGTCCAATCATATGGTTCGGATCTCTACTTCCATTTTATTGGTAATTTTTCTTGTTTTATTGTCCATCAGTTGAAAATTTTAAGTCTAATCACTTAGGAAGCACCACTAATTAAACATACACTATTTGAACTGTAATCCTTTTAGGTAAATACTTGTAAACATAGATCAATGGGAATCCAAATCGGGAAGAGAATGAAAGGTATTAAATGGATGCAGATATAAAGCAGTAGGGATCATGCCGAATCATCTATTTCATGCCATGTTAATAAAGTCTAATTGTTAAAACGTCCTCAGCATGTCTCACGTTTCAAATCTGTAGCCTTTTTGTATCATTTTACAGATTTTGCTGTGGTAGATATCATCACATTCAAAGCATTCCAAATGCTTGACTTGTGTGGGCTTGTCAAAATGAAGCATTTATTGTGTTTATTGTTCTTGGTTTGTGGCCCTAGATCCATTCTCCATTATATCTGCTGTTTCAATGTATGTTTTGAAGACTGAATGTGAGCAAGTTTGGTTTTTTGGGGGTTATTTTAAGTCTGGAGAAGGCAATGAACTCTTTGTAACTGTGTCTTTGAAAGCAAAAGACGATGCACCTGTTCCTGTCCTCGCGCGCAAGGCATCATCACACGACCAACCAGCACAGCATCTCCTTTCTTCTCCTCCTTTGCCTGAGAGCAGAGGAAGAAGAATGAGGGGTTTATACAGACCCAGACAATGTGGGAAAATGTTGTGTATTTGTCTGACCTTAACAAAGGAAGTGCAGGGAAAAGTGGCGAAATCAGACGAGACTTGAGCACCAGGCCTATGAGTCACTACATGCTCAGCAACTTCATCCTTCAAAGAAAGAAGTTGCTTAAATAAGTGCAGGAGACATTTTAATGATGACTGTTTGATTTTAAAGCATTTTTGGTTTACCTTAAGCCTATCGAGAGTGTCACTGAGCGACTGCAGTCTTGCTGTTTGCTCGAGGAGCTGTGCACTGGGACTCACTGTTAATGAAAACACAAACACTGTAAAGTAATTACTGTATAAACAACAGAAATCTGCATTTTTAAGTCTAATTATGACAGACCTGGAGATTTCCCAGTGATGTCCACCACTTTCACATTGGCACTCATCTGGAGGAGAGTATCCAGCAGTTGGTCTGTTTTGCGGTAGAGGGCGCTAGACAGCACCTCAGGCCTGCAGCCCTCTCGCCAGCCCAGCTTTGGCACGTTCAGTTCTAAAGTGTTTTTGAAAAATCACATACCCTGCCTTTAACACTGATGTTAACAAACACAGAGACAATTCATATATTTTTCAAAAATATTTACAAATATATACACCATGGTTTAAAAGTTTGGGGTCAGTAAGTGTAGAGGGCGCTAGACAGCACCTCAGGCCTGCAGCCCTCTCGCCAGCCCAGCTTTGGCACGTTCAGAGGAGGAAGAGATGCCAGCTGAGCACGCATCTTTTCTGCCTGCGGCCCACACAGACACACAAAAACAAAAGTGAGAAAAAATCCTCAGCGCCTGCATTGGGGAAATGTGCTTGTGAAGCAGTAGGAGAGACCTTTAGTCTGTTGTTCTCGTTCTTTAGGTGCTTTAAACTGAGTCGCTGAGCTTCAATCTGCTGAGTCAGCAGTGGAGAATCTATCACTTGCACTCCAGCAGCTGCACACACACCTTTCACACACAGAACAAATTACTGCATGTTAACCAGTGTTAATTTTGACAGCAAATTTTGATTTGCTTGATTTGAAATTATTCGCCAATGAAATTAAAGGCAGTGTAAGTTTTTTTTTTTTTTACTCTGCAAGGAGGCATGAAATTGATCAAAGGTGACAGTAAAGAATTTATAATGTTACATAAGATTTCTATTTCAAATAAATGCTGTTCTTTTGAACTTTATATTCATCAAAGGATCTTGAAAAAAAAAGTATCACAGTTTCCAAAAAAATATTAAGCATCACAACAGTTTTCAACATTGATAATGATAAGAAATGTTTCTTGCGCATCAAACCAATATATTAGAATGATTTCTAAAGGATCAATTGACACTGACTGAAGACTGAAGTAATGGCTGCTGAAAATTCAGCTATATTAAAATTGATTTTTTTTATATATAATATTCCACAATATTACTGTTTTTACTGTATTTTTATCAAATAAATGCAATCATGTTAAGGTTCTCTCAAAAACATTAAAAAATCTTACTAACCCCAAATGTTTGACACGTTTCGGTAGTGTTTATTATAGCATTATATCACTGATATTTCAAAGGAATCATCTTAGGTGGATTATATTAAATACATGAAGGATTTCCTTGATACTTCACTACATGGAGATTATAATAAAACAGCTGCAGTAATTGAGATGTCAAATATTACATTGACTTACAAGGTATATATGTAAGTGATAATGCACATTATAAAACAAACCCAACAAAGTGATTAGAATTTAAGGATTTTTGAAAGATAATTTTTTGCTTTAATGTCTTGACTGTACATTATCATACTTATTAGATGGCTACATATTATATTAGATGAGAAGAAAGAATCCACAGGTTTTATGGCAGACATGAAATAACATGTAGGAAGCTATGAGGAAGGAAACTACATTGTTGAATACTACTTAAATATATTAAAGAGAGGAATGTCATGATTGACCAATCAGAATCAAGTATTCGGTGCAATAAATGACATTAAGTTATGGTCACTTATTGCATGGTTCTTGATTACAGTACATGCAACTTATGAAAGGGAAACATGACAAAATCTTTGTGAAACAAAAACTAAAAATGCTACTATCTAGTAACATAAATAAGAATAACTTTCAAGCACACATGCAGCACACAGACAGACCATGAGTGGGAGAAAAAGAGACCGGAGATATTTAAATATTACACTGACAAAAAATTACCTTTTTGTTCTTCTAAAAGGAATACAAACAATGGGAGACATGTTAGACCATTTAAAATGAAGACTTAAGAAATACATTTTAACGTAGTGTTCAAGTTAAACTGGTTCCCTTATGTTTCTCTTACCAGCAGTGATGCCACAAGTCACAATGGAGGCAATGCCAGAGGCTTGACTTCCTCTCAGGCCCTCCATGGTCATCTTTGATTGGCTGATGATTCTCTGCTTAAGCTCTACTTTCTCTGCCTCTAGTTGGTCTATGTCAGCCTGGAGAGCATCCATGGTCTCCTCAAACTCCCTACGGATTATAACAGCCACATTAAATGCCTTTCTTACAGTAGTATCCCCATCACTATACTGGGACATTAAGACACACATTAGGAGTTATGTGCAACAACCCTCTATGTCATCTCTTACTTTTCCTTCTTTTTCAGGAGCGAAACTGTCTCATCTAGGACCATCTGGATCTTCTCCACTCGCTCATCTGCATCTTTAGACGCGCTGTCCAGCTTTTTCTCCAGTAAACTGAGACGCACATTGGCCTCACTTAGTTCCTCTCCCTATAAACAAAGAGCCTTTTCACTCAACATTTTCACATTATTTCAAACTTTTGATATCTCGCGACTCTTAATGCTGAGTATGAGTGCTTCTACCTTTATTTTAAGGGATTTCTTCAGCTCTTTGATGACCATTTCTCTGTCTTCAAGTTTGAGGCCGAGTCCTTCAGCATCAGTGATTTCTGCCCTTAAATGGCTGCAATATAACAAAGAGTGAAAAATGTAAGGGGGTCTGAATACTTTCCGTACCCACTGTACATACTGAGACACAAGCACAAAGATTCATAGCCATAGTGTTAGAGAGGCAGACTGAGCACAGACTTACTCCATTCTGTGGTCTTTCAGAGTCATATTCTCCCTCCTGCATAGCGGTAGCCATCTTGTTCATGGTTGCTATGACAACACTGCATGACTGGCGCAGACACTCTTGAGGGTTTATGCCCTGTGACCCATAGATCTGAGAAAAAAGAAGAAAAAAAACCAGATAGCATTACATCCCCATTTGCTATTATATTATATTATATTATATTATATTATATTATATTATATTTACTTATATTTATAAAGTAAATATATACTATATATTTAGTTTATGCTGATTTTAATAAAAAATTATTAAAAATAATATATATATATATTTTTTAATGTTTTTAAAACAGTACAGAATGAGTGACAGCAATGAGAATTGCTTAAAAGTAAAATGTCCAAACGTATTATGGTTATGTGCTTAATAATTAATTAATAATTAACATGTTTACTTTCTATTCATCAAAAATCCTGAAAAATAAAACTTATCACAGTTTCCTAAAATATTAAGCAGCACAATTGTTTTTAACACTGATAATAATAAGAAATGTTACTTGAGCAGCAATTCAGCATATGATAATAATTTCTGAAGGATTTCTCATGTGACACTGAAGACTGGAGTAATGATGCTGAAAATTCAGCTTTGCCATCACAGGAATAAATTACATTACATTATACAAATTACACTATATTAAAATAGAAAACAGTTATTTAAAATTGTAATAATATTTCAAAATGTTACAGTTTCCACTGTATTACTGACCATATTATGTTATTATTATTTATTATGACATATTATGTTATTTTATATTTTATTTTTATGGTGACCCAGACATGTTTTCTCAAGAGTCACCAAAATACTGTATACCTGTTCAGCTGCTTTAAAGGCCATGTCTTCCAGTTTGAGGGCTGGCAGTCCCTCATGTTCGCTGAGAGGGGCGATGAGCTGAGCGGCTGCCGCTGCCACTTCCTGAAGCACTGCATTCACCCAGGCCAGCTGCCTTCTGCTCTCTGCCAGGGTCTCACACACCTACACACACATAAACCTCATCAACAGAAGGCTTAGATTTATATACAATTTAATGTATAGATAATATGAATGAGATTTGGAAGCACATCACCTGGGTTCCAAAGCTGAGGGCAGCTGGGATGCCGGGTGCATCTGTGCCTGGCATGCGCCGACGGATCTTCTTGCAGAACTGTCGTATGTCACTACAGGAAGTGTCCAGATCCTTCAGCAGCACACAAAATGCTTCCTCATCCTGTCCTGTCTGTATGAAGGCCCTCAGACGCCCCACCTCCACTGCCATACAGTCCAGAGCACTCTGGGTGAACTAAAGAGACACATGAAGATGTGTTAAAGGTATGTGTAGCGATCCGGGTCTCTCTCTTTGTGTTTGTCTAAGTTAGTTGCTTACTTTGATGTGGTCTGCTAGCTGCACGGTACAGTCCTCAGGCTGTTCAGCGAGATGAATGCTGTAAAGGTGCTACAACACAGAGAAATGCATGTCAATAAATAACTTGATTTGTAGATTCGGAAGACAACACCAGTGCTTGAAAGACAAATAGTAGCTCACTAAGTAAGTTTAGGTTTCAAGCTTTGGTCTGTAAATGCTTTGCTGCAGTCATGATACTGAGTGAACATCTTTTTTTCCGTTAGATAGGTATGAGAATGTACTACCGTAAAAAATTTGGGGTCATTAACATTTTAAGTTTTAAAAGAAATGTTGATTCAGCAACATGTTCAATTGATCAAAAGTAGCATTAACAACATTTATAAAATTACAAATAAATAAATATTACAAATAAATACTGTTCATTTGAACACTGATGATAATAAGAAATGCGCAGCTAATCAGCATATTAGAAGGATTTTGGAAGGATCATGTGACACTGAAGACTGGAGTAATGGCTGCTGAAAATTCA